ACCCAAAGTTAAATGGGTACCTATAGCAAACCCACCTTTCTTGTAAACAACATTACAATCGAAAGCTAGGAGAAAAAATCTTAATAGTGGATGCTCAAGACATATGATCGGAGATCCAAAATACTTCATAAAACTTATTAGCCAAAACAATAAAGGAAAGATCATGATTTGAAATCATGCTTGATGATTTAATGATTTAATTATGCATGATGATTTGAAGTAATGATGATTTTTGTGATTTATGATTTATTAATTTTGATGATTTCTATGATGAAATTTTTTTTTTCGGTTTTAAACAATGATACAAGTTTTGATTTGGCGTAAAAAAACTTGGACTTGTTTGAAATCAAATCACTTAAATTGAAACAAAAAGGGGAGAATGTATTTTTCTCGAAGATATTTCTAAAGTTTTTTATTTTTCAACAAGTGATCCTTAACAATGAATCTATTTTATGTTATCTCTTGAATTAAGAAAGTGATTTTGATGATTTGACGTTTTAAATTTGAATGAGTTTTATCTATATCATAATCTTGAATTCTCTAAATCATAACTTGAGAAATCAAGATCCCTTACTTTTTATTCTTGAATGATTCTTGTATTTACTAAAGAGAATATTTATCAAACCGAATCATTAACTTTCTCTTAATTTCTAGACTTGAGCTATCTTTATGGGAATCCATTTTTTTTTATCTTCTATGATTTCTTCTTTTTACCATTTACTAAAGAGAAAAATTATATAAACAAATCATGATCTTAAGATTTTTACATTGTTCACTATGATTCTTTCATTTTACTAAAAAGAATTATCTAAATGAATCACGATTTGTCTTTCGATTTCTCAAAATTATAATTTGAGATTTTTATATGAATCAAGATATTTCATTATTTGTTCTCCTATGAATCTTTTGTTGTTTATTAAAGTGGATATTTATCCAAATTAACTATGTCACTTGACTTCTGTTTATGACTTGAGTTTTATGTATAATACTCCCTTGTATTTATGAATTGTATACCTCATCACTCTTGATTTAAATTTATCTTTTTGTCATGATTTAAAATTTAATATAAAGGGAAAAAAATTATAATATTATATTCTTCCCTTTTTATTTATAATAACTAAGGGGGAGAAAAGTCTTGCTAGCTTACACATCGTAAAGAAAAGAGAAAAGTGCTAGCTTACACATCTTAAGAAGCAAAACTTACAAACTTATCTCAAAAGAGAAGCAAGATTTGCTAGCTTGTAATCTCAAGAGAAGCAAAAGTGCTATCTTGCCCATCTCAAGAAGTAAAAAATTATTAACTTTTACATCTTAAAAACTTGCTAGCTTGTATGATCTAAAATGATGTAAAACTTGTTAATTTATTAGCTTGCATTCTGTTTCAAAAACTTGCTAGTTACACTTCTCCTTTTTGTTGATGACAAAGGGGGAGAAGTTATGATGATGATATAAAATTATGCATGAAATACTCATGATATTATGATGATGCATACAATGAAAAGTTATGATGATTATACATGGTAGGATGTAATGTACTTTGATATTTTAATACCATGATGATTTGAAATATTTATGATTTGGAATGATACATGCAATGATGTGATTAATTGGTTCTTTCAATATTCATGATGCATGCAATGATGAAATACTCATGATACTCTAAATTTAAAGTTTCTATCAATATGGCATATTGATAGGAGGAGTTTAATTTAAACTCTATCATCAATTGATTGTTATCATAAAAAAGGAGGAGTTTAGAATAATAATATATTATATTTTTTATGCATACATACATGACAATTATGAATACATCAGCTATTTGATTGCATGTTAAATATACATGTTGTTGAATCTTGGATTTTGATGATGAAACCAATTGATAGTATTAATGATTTGATCTGCGTTTTAAGTAATGCAGGATGCTTCGATTAGGGAGAGACATTTAAAGTAGCAAGAATCATGTTGGGCTAGAGAAACATGTTAGAAGATTGGATGTCACATCGAAGGATCGGTCGACATATCGATAGAAGGCTTCGGGCCATGGTTTCGGGTATCGGGCCAATAAGAGCGGATATTGCACCAAAGATATCGGAGTTGTGGAGGTCAACTGGCTAATTTGGCAATAGGCTGCAAGAGAGGATGATGCGTCGAAGAATCGGACGAAGTGTCGATGGACTAATAACATGCATGACAATATAATTCATGCTTAGTAATAATTGTCTAGATCGAAGTGTGTTTTTGATGTGTGCAGGATTAATTACGATAGCAAGGCATAAAACAAAATAAAGTCCCGGAGTCAAGAATGCGATTTCGTTGAGAGTTCGAGAGTTCGTCGGAAGTCCGGACGTTCGTCGGAAGTTCTGCCAGAATTGATTGAGAAGTCCTAGAGCTTACCAAAGAAGCTCATCGGAACTTGCCAAGAAGATCGTCGTGAAGTCCAGGAGCTTGCCGGGAGTCCATCGGAACATTGCCGAGAGATCGTCGGAAGTTTGTCGGAAGATTGCCGGAGCTCGCTAGAAGAAACCGAACTTATTTTGCTTAGAATATGTCTTAGGAATCGTAGTTAGCACATAATTGGAGTTGGGATTGGGAGATAATCCTGTCAACTCTATTAGGGGCCAATTGGGCCCGAAGTTGGGGCTGGTTTGGGGCCGAATTCAAGGCTCAACTAGGATGCTAAAAGCTTGGCCAGCGGTGGCACCGCTTGGGAGACTTAGTTTCCCAAGTGGTCTGGGCGATGGTACCGCCGACAGTAAATGCTGCCAACGGTGATATGGCCCCTGTCAGGCGGTGGTACCACTAGAGCTTGATCTCCGAGCTCTATTAGGCGGTGATACGCCCAGTGTCAAGATGCCAGGCGGTGGTACTGCCCAGCACAGGTGGTGGTACCGCTCGTACCTGGGAAACCCGAGATGAGATATTTTTAGGCTCCAAGTTTGAATCAACTTAAAGCCTATAAATATCCCTCTCATCCTTGATTAAGATATATAAGCACAGAGAATTTAAAAAGGGAAAAACATTATTGTAATATCTTGTGAGAATCCTCCTCTTCTAGTCTAAGTGTTAGAATAGTTTGTGAGAGGAGTGAGTACTTGTAAAGGTTATCTTCTAAACCTGTGAAAAGGAGAAGAGGGGTGTAAGAAGGAGGTTAATCTTCACCTATTAAAGGAAGATCGATAGTGGATACCGGTGGCCTCGACGGAAAAGGAATTGGCGGAGTGGATGTAGGTCACGATGACCGAACCAATACATAAATCCAGTTTGCCTTTTCTTTTGTGTAATTTATCTTATTGCAAACCTCCTTACCATCTTACTGTGTTTTTACTACGCCAACACTTGCATACGCTTTCAAGTTTCCGAAATCGATTTTTATTGTATGAAATAAAGAGATTTTCAGAACCGATATGATTTTTACCATTGCACTAATTCACCTCCCCCCCCCCCCACCTCTTAGTGCCGACTCTAAACCTAAGAGGACATCTCTCCTCCCTCTTAGTGCTTACTCTAAACCTAAGAGGACATCTAAAAGATGATAATTAATCCTTAGAAGTTTACAATGCTTAATATTTCTCATGGTGCTCTTATGCTGACTTACTATTGGATATGTTTATAGTATTTCCCGTGCTTCTTACTCTGACTTACTCTTGCATATGTTTATAAGTAGCCTCTAATGTACCATTTTAGTATATTTACATCCATCTACCATCACCCAACAGTCCATATCTAGAAATTAGTCTACATAAAGGATCCAAATGCCGAGTCGTTTAAATAGAATGACCAAGAATTTATATAGGAATAGTTATTTACATCCAATACGAGAAGACATGCATTGCATATTAAATAGGTATTTGTGTTCTATGTAGAATAAATTATTGTTTGGTTATTTTTTTGGCTAAATTTCTGGGAAGCTTCTCATTTTAGTTTATTTTTAATTGATGCTCTTTTTATTTTTCTCCATCAATATCCTTATTTTTTATTCTCAAAATACTCCCGATGGGATTGACCAAAAAGATTTTCATCATTTGCATTAGACCGAGTCATAACGTAAAAAAAAAAAAAGCTAGTGATGGTACTTTTGTATAGATTTATAATATTTTTAAGAAGGTTCCAAAAAATCTTTAATCGTATTGAAAAATACTATGGAGGCCATGTTTTTTTTTTTTTGAATGTACTTGATCTAAGACCAACATAAATCATATTTGAAACTCTATACTAATAAGTTGATTTGTGTTGTATTGTTAGACTTCGTTCGTCGTTTATAGTATTTTGGTATGAGATTGTAATGTTTTTATGGATATATTAAAAATATTATAACTGGATTGCTTCATATTTTATGTCAAGGGTATTTTGGGATATAAGAAAAAATATGAAAACTGATAGAGAAAAATAAAAAAAACTTTTGAAAAAAAACTTATTTTCAAAATTTTTCACATAGCACCTCTACTTTTAAAATTTTTTGAAACGACATATTTTATTTAAAATGATCATTTTACCCCTATTAACTATATCGTCCTTCGCCCATCACCTGCCTACCCATATCTTCATTCCACTGGCCACCCCACTTTACTCCAAATAGCCCTCACACATTATCGTTTATAAACGTGCTCCCTATCTTTGCAATCCTCATTGTTGGTCGTAAGATGAAAAAGAAGAGAGTATGCCATTGACCACGAGTGAGAGAGAGGGGGTGACCTCATGCAAAACATTTAGTAATTGAGCTAAGGGGTCCTCCTTGGTTATGAGCGATAACGGATCTAGAATAAGTAAGGTGATCTTTTTCATACAGTTAAGTTAAGGGTGATATTTTAGAATTTTTTTTAAGAAAAGATGCTCTGTGAAAAAAATTTAAAAAGTAGAGATTTTTTTTTTAAATTTGCCCAAAAATAAAGGGTGTATAAATCGGGAAAAAAAAAAAAGGCAAACTGAGGGATTTTTCATGGGAATTTACTCAGTCTTTTTCCAGGTTCGAAATGGGGCAAAAAACAGACCTCATCCACGTAACATTTTCATTGGTGGTCAATGGCAAAGTGGATATCCGACGCTGCTCCGGTGCCTTCCGTGCGCTCTGTTGCTTATCAGCTTCCAATCTCCCGCTTCTCCCCTTATCTTCTCCAATAGCCACCGAACTCCTGAAAGTTTAGAGCAATGGCGATGAACGTGCTCCCGCTGACAACCCCGCGGGCGTACTTAGAGGGCAAGCCCGTGGGCGGGACGCAGGCCCTTCTCTCCGACCACCTCCGCCGCCACATCTATAACCTTGGCTGCGTCACCGGCATCGACGGCAGCTTCACCGTCAAAGCCGCCCCCCGCAAACCTCGTCAGTTCATCGTCGTGGCACCCTCTGGTCTGCATCGAGTACTTGATTGCAATCCATGAAAACCATCTGATGATCGCTGCATTCGATCTTTCGTTCGATTTTTCTTGCATTCTCTTTTATAATAGCTCAAAGATTGGATCTTTGATTGTTTTGATCAATGTCACCGTCAGGGGTTCTGAAGGCGCGGTTCGTGCCGGAACGCATGTACGCGCTGTTCAGAAGCGGGGCCGTGCTATCCTCTTGGACGCCGAAGCCCAACCTTCATAAGTCTCCAAACTGCACGGGTTGCGCTGCACATGCTGTGAAAGTAATTTCCTCCTCTTCGTTTTTTCTTTTACTGCTCTTATTGTCTAGTTCCGTAATCCTGTTTCATGGACTCATTGCATCTGGTTCTGGATCAAAAGAAAGAGGTTTCTGAAGGAATTAGTGATTTCCTTGTGTAACTGGAGCAGAGTTAGTATACTTCAAATTAGAATTTGTTTCAATCAGGCTTCGGAGAAGGCTTATGTACCAAATGACAGTGTTTTTGTGGCTGAATTGTTGGTTCAGAAAGAAATGGGAGATTGCGAGTAGATGGATGTGCTTTTGGAGGTTGGACTGTGAGGGAATTACTTTATTTTCTTTCTGGACCTATCTGTCAAATTCAAATTCTAAGCATAACTGCTCATGTCACTATCTTATGAAAGTTTCCTCTTAAAGACACAATCACTCGGCACTTGTAGTCTGTTTTCTCCATTTCAACCATCCTACTTGCTAAAAGCAATACTTGTCCCATTATCTGTTTAATCAAATGCTAGGATAAAAATCCTATCTTTTTTTACTTTTGGAAATTTCTTATCCATCGGTTGCACTATACCTTCCTTTTATCTTTGTTTGCTGTATATTAGCTTAACCCTACTTAATTTAAATTCAGTACAACTATGACCCTCCTTGAAGCGAAAGTTTTAGATTTCTTGGATTTCTTACTGATTCGGAAGGGAAGATAAATCAAGATATTCTTTGTGGAGTGGTATATCAGGAATTCTATATTATCATCATGTTACACTTAAATAAAAGGAATATTTAATAGGACAGTTGTAAGGTCAACATGAACAAATAGATATTTAGGAAACTGCATGTGCAAAAGGTTAGTGTTGTTAGGATGAGAATGTTGCAATGGATGTTTGCATTTACTGAACAATCTAGAGTAAGAAATATTACATCCATGAACAAATAAGTTTAACTAGATGATGAGAAAACATTCTAGACTCCATGGACATGTCCAAAGGAGATCTATGGATACTCTGCTTAGATGAAGTGATCGACTAAAGATTAGCGGTGTTGCGAGAGATAGAGATAGACCTTGGAAAACTTTATCAGAAACAACAACAAGACATCTGATTCTTTTTAGTTTTACTAATGATATTATCCCAAATATTCAAATGGTAGGAAAAGATTTGTGGATCCGACACTACAACTTCTTGTTAGGTCATCGAGTATTTTGTTAAAAAACTATGACAGTAATTCAGATAAGCTTTCGATACTAAAATTTTTTGGCTGGTTTAATTTTAAACCAATTAAAAAAATGGTTTAGTCTTTTCTAAGTTCACATTTGCTAATGATTTAATTTTTAATGGTTGTATGCTTCATGGTGGTCTTTTGTCACTATTGAATATTGTTTAAGCCCGCTCCACATATATTAGATACAATTCCAATTTCTAATTGTTCGGTTTTGGAGCTTTCAACAAAAACCATTATTTATAGTTAGTCATCTTTTCATCACTTTGTTGCAAAAATTCTCCAACTGTCTTCTGGGTTTTTCTCTTAAGTTGCTTGTGGTACATAACTCTTAGATTATGTTATCTTTACTATTCTAGTATTTTTCAGGCTGAGAATTACCAGTACCCTTTTGATGCTGCAATCAAGCTTCACCAATTGGGTATCGACTGGAATGCATTTGGTCAGAATTCACTAGGCCATCCAAAACAATTTCAGTATAGGGGTAGGCATCTAAGTGGTTCTGTGCGAGCAGGACCACTAAATGGCAGCCTTGATCCTGTGCCATCAATTGTAAGACGGTTTCCATATATCTTGCTTTGGATATGGTTTTTTCCTTTTATCTTGCTATGGATATGTTCAGTTTTTGTTCGTTCTGTTTGTGCATCTCTGTCTGTTTACCATGGCTTAGTTTTTGCTTCAATGTCTGTATGTTAATGGATCTATTTCTTCATGAATCACTGCAAAATTTTTCTTCTGTATTCCAATCAACTAACATATAGGTAATCTGCTAATAAACAACTTTGAACATTTTGCAGCAATGCATTGTCCTTGACATAGAAGGAACAACTACTCCAATAACATTTGTTACAGATGTTCTTTTTCCATATGCTCGTGATAACGTGAGAAAACATTTGATGTCCACATATGACAGCAAGGAAACAAAAGAAGATATTAAGCTATTGCGTGCCCAAGTAAGATTTCATTGTGCAGTTTCCTGTATTGTCTATTTCCATTATTTGTTTATGATTTATTAGACATTTTAATTGCTTTGGTCTCAAGAACTTTTAGTAGGTGTGCTGTGGTCACTAGTCACAAGACTTGGTTTTGGCTATTCATATAATGATTGGCATAATTGCATCTGTATCCCTCCAAAGTCAGTGATCTTGGTATTTGCCCCGCTATATGTGAAATATTGTAGTTATTCTCTGGCAGTTGACCTTTAGTATATAGACATCAAAACTCAAATTGTATCCCCTTCAAAAATGTTGAAGAACATGAGGGGTCAAATAATTGGTGAAGGCATTTTAAGTACTTCAAATTTTATTATTTCCAAATGCAGTGATAACCATGACTAGTAGTAGTTAACTTGAGTTTGCCGGAAGAATGTTAATGGGAAAAAAGTTGAATATATGAAGGATATATATATATATATATATATATATATATATATATATATATATATATATATATATATATATATATATAGTA